CCGCCGGGCGGGAGGCGGCATCGCGCGAACCCCTCCTGCGGGCCCCGAGGACCATGTCTGTGCTGAAACACCCGACTGGCACCGTCCAGAGCGTTCCGCTCCGAAGGCGCCCAGCGGCCCACGAGCTTGAGCCCGACGGCTAGCGCGAAGGCGGCCGAGATGCGACGCTGGAAGTTCGCCGCAGTTGGCGCGCGGGCGGATCACTGACATGTTGTCGCCCAACATCAGTACTCGAGAGTCGCGAACACTGCGATCTCGCGAGAGATGTCGGGCAGTCCACCTCCGCGCACGAGCCTCCAGCTGGGCCCGAGACCCTGAGGCGCCCCTCCAACGCCAGGCGTTGGCGACCTCCCAGTCCTTGTCGAAGAACGCGGCAAGAACTTCCTCAAACTCCCGCAGACGCCCAAGCTCCGAGATCACGTCCCCCGAAGCCCCCGAGACGTACGCCTCCCCCTCACTATCCAGAGCACGAGACCGAGGGGCCCCCGCAACGCTCAGGAGCCCACGAAATCGAGCTCGTTCTCGAACCCGACCGACAGCAGCAACTTCGCCAGGAAGGCAGCGCACACTGCCAATCCCAAAGCCCCAAGCCGACGCGTCGCACCCGAAGACACGGCCCCGCCAGGGGTGTCGCATGCAAAATCGAGCGAGTGGGAGGACCGCACGGACCCAACGGACTTCGCGGCGCACAGACGGCCGGAGGGGCTGACGGCGCACATTGTTATCATGTAAGAACACATGGACCTTAAAACAATCGCGCGCGAGAGCTCAGGGGCCAAAGAGAAGAGAGCAGTGGCGTGACCGACGAGCCTCTCCAACTCCTGACCCGCGACGCTGCGCCCGCTCCCCAAGATAGTCAGCCGCGAGCTTCACCTCCCAGAAACGACTAGCCTTAGGTCGCCACTCCCCACGAGCCCCCAACAACTCGAAGCCAATTCAGTCATGGTCCCCTGGGCTCTCCTCCAACGACGACGCGATCCCCTTCGCCCCCGACTGCTCGCTCATCCCCGCGACGGCCCCCTCGGCGACCACAGGGCCCGCGCTCGCGTGCGCGAAATTATCGATATGCGATCCGCGCAGCGAGCCGACGTCGCCCAGGGGCGGGGGAGGAGCCTTAATGTCTAAAATCCAAGGGGCCTCAGGGTTCACGTTTCTTGTGACGAAATAGCCGCCCGCGCCAACGCGACGGCCCAGTTCCACCCCGCCGGCGCCGCCCGGGCCCGGAAGCGGGCCCGGCCGCGAATCCGAGCCGCCTCCGGCGAAGCGGCGACGAGGTCCGAAGACAGGCGGGCCGTGGGGATCGCAGGTAGGCAGAAACAAATACTTATCCTGGACGGGAAGCTCAAACTGGCAAGAGCAAACGTCAGCGCCCCCCCCGCGCACGACAGGAACAACGCGGGGCGCGCGCCCTAGATGGGCGAAGGCCTCTCCAGAGGGCAAGACTACTCAGGGCGGGTTTTTTCACCGCAAGTTGGGAACGCGCGCATCCCGGACCAAACGACGGGCGCCTGATTTCTTCCGCGCGAAATCCATGTCACTCTCTCCGAGCACATCCTCACTGGCTTCCAAAACGCCAGCTCTCCAGAGCTCCGAAACGGACTCTCCTCCCTCGAGACGGGGCCCATGAACAGGCTGCCACCAAGCTCTTGCTTACGCGTGGCAACCTCCTCAGCGGATAAAAGGATTGCGCGATCCTCGAGCGCGGGCTGCAAGGCTAACGGCGCGCACTCATTCAGCGACACCTGCCCAGACCGCCCCGCGGGAAGTGACGCGTTCCCTCGCTCGAAGTTCACGCGGGCACCGACGGCTGGCGCGCCATCTAGGCAGCTGGGCCGCGCGCCCTGGAGCGCCTGCCACGCTCCCAGGGAGCTCCCGCAATCAGGCGGCGCAGCGTCCACATAACCGCACTGCCGAGCGAGGTGGCGCACGGCGGAGACCTGGGCTGAAGTCAAAGAGGACGGCGGAGGTGAGGGGCAGGCCCGACGCGCCGAGTTCATCCAGAGCTTGGATGCCCTCGAACAGCCAGCCCACCTGCGCCCGACGCCGTCTGAGACGTCGTCGCCGACTCTGAGGAAGGCCCGCGCCGCTGGCACCACCCAAGCAAACCTCCGAGGCAGTGGCCAGGGAGATGGGGAGGACGTCGCGCTGGCGAGCCATGCGCAGCTTGAAAACACCTCAGGGCGGCCACCACCTGCCGCGCCCTGAACCAACGGCATGCCCTCGAGAAGGCGGGGCGCTCCTCCTCGCGGCGGTACAAGATATATGGGAGTCAGCCGTCAGGCCTGCCCTCCCCCCTCTCTCCCTTCTTCCCCTTGGCGGCCTGCTTCGCCGACGGGGTCGCGTCGATGCCCTCGGCCAGAGCGGCCTCCTCGCAAACCTTGCGGCGCTCCATCGGCACGGCAGCGCGGGCGGAGAGCTCCTTGGCCACGAAGTCCCCCAGCTCGGGCATGACGATCGCGCTGCCCAGCAAGTTCTTGACAAGAACAACAAGCGCTCGTTCAGCCAGTCGTCGCCGCCAGCCGGCCCAGCATCCACCTCGCAGAGCAGATCCCTGCAGGCGCTCTCCCCCGTCTGATAGCGACGGCCGATGAGATCAAACGCCGCCAAGTTACACACCTGAACCTGGTCAACCGCGTGAGCGACCTCCAGCAGCTGGGACAGGAGCAGGTGCTCGTCGACTCCCACGTCCGACGCGGCGAGCTCTAGCACCGAGCGCCACCAGTAGTGGCGTTGCACTGGCCCCTGGTTGCCCTCGTGGATGCGCTCCGCGACGAAGTAGGCCGAGAGTGGCCCCTCGATCTCCCAGCCCGTGCCGAAGTGCACCGCATGGCGTGCAAAGCGTCCGCGAACGGCCGACGGAAGCGCCGCATGCCATCACGCTTCACGGGCAGGATACGCAAATCTGACGCCTCCACCGCCGCTTCCATGACGAGGGATCCTCCAGCCCGCCCGAGAGCACCGTGCCGTCCGTGAGGACGAACAGGCACCGTTCGTTGACGACGTGGACCCACTCACCCATATGCGCCAGCAAGGAGTCGCCGACCTTCACTCCACCCCGGCTCTCAGCGGCGACCCACTTGCCCGCGGGCGTCGCGGGCGGGCCGCCCTTGCCAGGAGACGCGGGCGCAGCGTCCGCGCCTGCGCCACCAGGGCGGAGGCCCCTGGCGCCTCACCCGTGTCCAAGCAGTACTGCCTGTCCTTGCCGAACGCGAAGTTGTCGATGCGGTACACCGCCAAACCCCGCAAGGCGGCGGGAAAGGCCCCACCAGCGCCGAACTTCTTGAGCCCTTCGCCCTCTGCAAGGTTCTCCTCAAAAATGTCGGAACCCCGCGAGAACACGACCCAGCTCGCCCCGACGATGCGGGCGAGGAGCAGCCTCTCATGCCACTCCACCACCGCTCCGTCCGCGTCCTGGTAGTAGCAGACGAGGACCCGATCGCCGACCTGCAAGTGCTAGACCCACTCGGGCGTCGCCATCCTCGCTGTCAGTGGTGATGATATCTAACGTCACCCGGGAGGGCGCGGGCACACGGGTCACACCGCGGCCGATTCAGACGCCCGCGGTGAAGGCGCCCACGAGGAGGGACACGACGTACAGCAGCAGCCAGGCGGCTGTCCAGCCACCAGCGGCGGCCTGCGTTTCGCAGCGACAATCGCACTGGCAGACACACTGCGTGGGGCGCCCCACCAGATCGGCCAGCAGGCGGCAGTCGCCAGACACCGCCGCCTCGGGAGCGGCCACCTCGCAATGGCAATCCACGGGACTGGGATAGGCCAGCGCACGAAAGAGGGCCAGCTCGCGTGGGGCCGAGAGGGTGTCCAGAAGGGGGCCGAAGCTTCCATACACTCCTGAGCCAAAAAGCCTGTAGAGCGGAAGCACGGATGCCGAGGCCAGGTCATTCCCGTGGGGCACAAACATCATCACCGTCACCGTCACCGTCACCGTCACCACCACCACCACAATCATCATCATCATCATCATCATCATCATCATCATCATCATCATCATCATCATCATCATCATCATCATCATCATCATCATCAGCAGCAGCAGCAGCAGCAGCAGCAGCAGCAGCATCACCATTGTCACCATCATCATCACCATCATCATCACCATCATCATCATCATTATCAGCAGCAGCATCAGCAGCATCAGCATCATAATCATCACCATCATCATCACCATCATTTTCATCATCATCACCACCACCACCACCACCATCATCATCATCATCATCATCATCATCATAAGCATCATCATAAGCATCATCATCATCATCATCATCATCATCATCATCATCATCATCATCATCATCATCATCATCATCATCATAAGCATCATCATAAGCATCATCATTATCATCATCATCACATCATTATCAGCATCATCGCTACCATCATGATGGCCATCATCGATGCAAACAGCCGCCACCTAGAATGCTCGACTGGCAGGGTGGCTCACTTGCTGCAGACAGCTGGATCTCAATCACAATCGTCCTCATGAGCATGCCTGTCAACATCATCATCCGAACCCTCCATGTCACGATCATCCTCACCTCTCTTCCTCTCGTCACCATGACATCGCTCATGTCCTCAAGAAGCTCTTCAGAAGCTCCAGCAAGAACTTCACAGGCTCCAAGAGGCTCCTCAGAGGCTCCAAGAAGCTCTCCAGAGGCCCCAAGAGCTCGTCATAAGCGCTTTGTCGGCAGGGGAGGGGTCTTAGCCTTGTCCGATAACCAAGCCCCCCTTCTGCCGTACTCGACCATTTACAGACTCCGGAGCACTCTGGGCCGTACAAACACCTGCCGGGCCGCACAAACACCAACCACCTTCTCTCGAGGGAGGTTGGGAGGGGGGAGATATGGGAGAGGGGTGGCTGGGACGCGTTTCATCGGCTCATGAATGCGGTACTCGACGAGGGATAGGGTGAAGGAGGGGTTTGGGAAGAAGGGGGCGGTGCAGGAGGACGCAGGGAGGGGAGGAGGGCGGCGGGGAAACTCCGTCGGCGTTGGTGAGCTGCAAGAGCACACCGGTCGCCCACGACAGGTCCAGCCTTGCCTCCCGGGAGGCGGCCGCTGCGTCGCGTCGCGCCCCCCCTCGCCAGGTCGAGCTGCGGAGACGACATCTCCACGAGGGCTCCGAGGCCTCGGACCCCACAGAGGTCCAGCGCCAGGGAGAAATCGAGGCGGTCGGCCTTTTCTCGGTCTGTGGCCTGCAAAGAGAGGCCCGCCCCAAGCCCTTGGGCCGTCAGGAAGACGGCTGGGAACGCGGTGGCCTCTGGGTCACCGGGCTTCGCGCTCTCGCGCCAACCGCCCCTGGAAGTACGGGCGACCATCTGGTCTGGGCTGCGAGGCGAGCAGCGCGGTCATCTTCGCTCCGCTGCGGGTGCCCCACGAAGGTTTCGGCCTCCGTTCTGCAGGTTTGTTCCACCATTCTGGGCGTTCCGTGGTCCATTCTGGAAATTCTTGTGCACTTTCTTTTCTGATTTCGGGCGTCTGGCAGCCTTCAGGTCGCCTCCTTCTCCTGCGGTGCCTCTTCCAACTCCTGCTGTTCCCTTTCCCTCCTCTGCCCTATCATCCCCCTCCTCTTACTCCCCTCCTCCTGTTGATCCACCTCATCATGATCATCCTCCTTCGCCTCACCCTCCTTATCGGAGGAGAAAGACGCGAAGGGGGAGAACGAGGAGGAAAATAAGGGGGACCAGGGGATGGAGAATGACGAGTAGGAAAAAGAGAAGGATGACAATGAGGAGTAGGAGGATAAATACTACGGCGGCGTACTCAACCCATGTGCATCAAGTGGCCAGAAAGGCGGGCGAAATTGCAACGAACAGCGATGTTGCGAAATTACTTGGCACTCTTACATACTGCACGGCTCACAAAACGAACTTATTTGATACATTACATGGGATTTGGCATGGTACGGCGCACACAGAAGGAAAACGACGACCACGAAACAAAGGATGTGCAGCACTTATGTAGGAGCACATGGGGGATAAACAAAGACGAGGTGCATGAGGCGAAGGATTAGCGGGGAAGAAACATAAGCGAACGTAGCGTAGGCAAGTAAGCACGACCGCCAGGCGCTCTAACGGGACATAGGCAGTAAACAACTCTTCGAACCACACATACGAAAAAGCTGCGCGAAGGGGGGCGAGGAGGAGAGGGGAGAGGAGAAATGCATAATCAAAACAGAACGCGTATGGGAAAACACACGCAGCCGACTGTAGCTTCGGCCATCCGCGTTTGCGCTTGCGGTGCTACTGCCTTGGCGTGCTCCCTCCAGGCTCGTACACCAGGTCACGCAAGATATGGCCATCGGGGAGGCGTGTTCTTTTGTTGCACAACTTGCTGAGTGTTTCATTTCCGCATTCGATAGTCTTGACATGTACACATGAGGCATGAGGTATTTCATAGTCTTGCGCAAGCTAGAGGCTTGACAGCTGTCCAGTCTGTTAAGGTCTGCTTTGGGAAGCGATAGCGGCTCCAGATTGCAAATACGAATATCCGAAAGTATAACTGCACAGAACAGCTCCAACTGTCTTTGTTTTGTGATGCTCGCATGGTTCCAACATTTACCCAACCACTTGAACACCCTCTTTGCTTCCCTTATTCGCCAGGTCACCTCTGGTGCTGGTCACACTGGTTCTCAATCTGATCTCGAGACATTACATATGTTCCGCGTATGCCATCACATGCCCGCCCTGTGATCGCACCCGATCGTTGTTGAGTGCTTTCGTTATAACAGTGTTCTTCCAGCTGAATTCAAGCCAGGTCCTGCCTTCTTGGAAGTCCTTCAAGTCTAGGGGTAAACGTAGAGAGGTGAAATCACTTTGAGGGGATGAAGGGAACCTTGGGGGTAAGAACCAAGAGGAATGAGGTGGGAGCCCAGAGGAGAGGGAGGAGAGAGCATCGAGCGAGGCGGAAGGCGGGAGAAACGATAAGGAAGGAGGCAGAATAGGGAACAGACAAGCAGGACAGCCACAGGAGGAGACCAAGGACGAGGAGCGTGGACCAAGATCTCGAAGCTGAGCACCTGCGATGAGGACGGGATGCGACGAGATGATGCGAGTGTTTTTCATGGCGCCACCCTGGCGGCTCGGGTCAGCTATACTTGACGACAGCGTGAAAGGTGTGTCGAAATTGGCACGCGGACGTCACGCGGACGCACCCACTGAGGCCATTCGCTGGAGCTCCCAGCTGCTCACGAAAGGGGAGGGTGAGGTCCCGCCTGGATCTGGGTGGCGTCCTCCTCCTCCTCCTCCTCCTCTTCTTTTTCTTCTTCTTCTTCCTCCTCCTTCTCCTCCACCTACTCCCCCGCCTTTTCCGCCTTCTCCTCCTCCCTTTCCTCCTCCTCCTCCTCCGCCTCCTCCTCCTCCTCCTCGTCCGCCTCCTCCTCGTCCTCGTCCTCGTCCTCCTCCTCCTCCTCCTCCTCCTCCTCCTACTCCTCCTACTCCTCCTCCTCCTCCTCCTCCTCCTCCTCCTCCCCCTCCTCCTCCCCCGGGTGGCCGATGCCGGCAGGGCCGCGGGCATGGCCAGGGTCAGCATGCAGTCCGCGGGCCTGGTCTCTGGCCGCGCGCGCACCTCGCGGCGCCGCCACGGGCCGCGCGATCGCGCCGGGCAGCCGGCGCGATCGACTCACCGTCGATCGTCTTCGTGCTCGTCTTCGTCGTCTTCTTCGTCATCCTCTTCGTGGTCGTCGTCGCCGTTGCCGTGACCGTCGCCGTCGCCGTCCTCCTTCTCCAACTCCTCCTCCTCCTCCTCCTCCTCCTCCTGGTCCTCCTCCTCGATACCTCGAAGCTGAGGACAGTGGTGCCTCCAAGGCGGCGCTACCCTCCCCCCGCTGGCGGCCAACGCCGCCTGACGGGGGCAAGGTAAGTGGATGACAGGAGGCGCGGAGGGCAGCGGAGTGGAAACCTGATAATACATGAGGACAGGCTTGGCTCGAATGTCTCAGGACAGCTCTTGCTGGAGAATGCTGCACTCGGTATCGTCTTCATCCTCGTCCTCTTCCTCCTCCTCCTCCGCCTCCTCCGCCTCCTCCTCCTCCCGTTCCTCCTCCTCCTCCTCCTCCTCCTCCTCCTCTTCCCTCCTCCTCCTGCTCCTCCTCCTCCTCCACCTCCTCCTCTTCCTCCTCCTCCTCCTCCTTTCCCTTTTCCTCCCTCCTCCTCCCCCTCCTCCTCCTCCTCCTCCTCCTCCTCCTCCTCCTCCCCGTCCTCCTCCTCCTCCTCCTCATGCGCGCCCTCCTCCTTCTCCTCGTCCTCCTTCTTATCATCCATTCCTTTTCCTTAAGAAACAACTCCTCACTGTCGCCTTCCAAGGCCAGTTTTTAGGGCGGGCCGGGCGTTTCGCCTTAGACTTCCTCACCATCTCTGATCCTGAAGCTTTAAAATTGACAACCGTTTCACAGATGGAGGGCGTGCCGCCTTCAAAAGGTGGCTCTCGCCTTAGCGCCACGCGCATTCTTTTTTACAAAATGCAAGCGCTTCACGGATTGAGGGTGGGTGGTTTTCAAAATGTTGCTCTCGCCTCAGTGCCGCGCACATTCGTTTTCAACAGTTGCAAGAGTTTCGCAGATTGAGGGCGGGAGGTTTTCAAGATGTGGCTCTCGAGCTAGCGCCGCGTGCATTCGTTTTCCCAATTTCAAAGGGCTTCACGGATTGAGGGCGGGCCGTTTTCAAAATGAGGCTCTCGCCTTAGCGCCGCGAGCATTCGTCTACAATATTTGCAAGAACTGCACGGATTGAGGGCGGTTCCTTTTCAAACTGTGGCTCTCGCCTTAGCGCCGCGCACATTCGTTTTCAAACTTGTGCAAGAATTTCACGGGTTCCCAGGATCAACGTACCAGAAGCGGTGGGAATGATTCAGGATTACGATGGTGCAACAATTACGTTGGTTCGCGTTGTTGAAGTCCCAGGAATGGTTTTCTGTTGCGGTTCAAGATCGCCAAGACGCAACACTCAGGTTGACCCGTGGCGTTGGGATCCCTGGAACAATGTCTCAGCATGCATCAAGGTATTCAAACGGTTGTCTCCCAACGAGGCAATTCCCTCAGTGGAAATGCACCGTTGTAGGGGACTATGAGGAAGGAGCTTGGAGGGCAGGTTTATTCCGACATCGTTGATGGATCTTGGGTTTACACTGGCCCTCCTCCTCCTCCTGCTCATGCTCCTGCTCCGCCTCCTCCTCCTCCTCCGCGCCCGCCTCGTCCTCCTCGCCCTCCTCCTCCTCGTCCTCCTCATCCGCAAACTCTTCCTCCTCCTCCTCCTCCTCCTCCTCCTCCTCCTCCTCCTCCTCCTCCTCCTCCTCCACCTTAAATCACCTTATCATCCTCCTCCTCCGCTTCCTCCTCTTCCTCCTCCGCGCCCAGGGGCTTACGAAGGGGTAGGGTAAATCTGGGTGGGGTCCTCCTCCTCCTCCTCCTCCTCCTCCGCCTCGTCCTCCTCCTCCACCCCCTCCTCGTCGTCCTCCTGCGCGCCGTCCTCCTCCTCCTCCTCCTCCTCCTCCTCCTTCTCCTCCTCCTCCTCCGCTTCCTCCTCCTCCTCATCATCATCATCGTCATCATCATCAACATCATCATCATCACCACCACCACCATCATCACCATCATCATCATCATCATCATCATCATCATCATCATCATCATCATCATCATCATCATCATCATCATCATCATCATCATCATCATCATCATCATCATCATCATCATCATCATCATCATCATCATCATCATCATCATCATCATCATCATCATCATCATCATCATCATCATCATCATCATCATCATCATCATTCTCATCATCATCCCCCTCCTCCTCCTCCTCCGGCACCTCCTCCCCAGCCGCGTGAATACCAGTGTCCCATGGCTTTCGGAGGCCCCAACGTTGCAGAAAACGCATCGGTTATCGATCCTCGACCCTCGAAGAGGAGGAGGAAGAGGAGGAGGAGGAGAAGCGGAAAGGCAACAGGGAGGAGGAAAAAAAGGGGGAGGACGAGGGGGGAGAAGGAGGATTTGGAAGGGCACGTGTGTGTGGACGGAGGGAGGGAGGGATGAGGGATGAGGCAGAAGAGGAGAAGGAGGGATGAGGGATCATACGATCGAGGAGATGGAGGAAGGACTGGGGAGGATGAGGGGGAGGTGGAGGAGGAAGACAGGACAGGACAGGACATGGGCATAAGGGGTTCAACGTCAACAGACCTAGAGTGGTGCCTTGCGCGCGTCTGGCAAAACCCCCTGTGATTTGGTTGTGCAACGGCCTTGACTTCTCACTAGGGCCGGCAGGGGGCACACCCCGAAGCTTCAAGAGGTGAGCTCCGAAGTGGCCCCGTAAGAGAGGCTCACTACCTTCTGAATACGAGTCCCTGTGGGTCAGTGCGGGGGGAGCAGCTGCCGGCCCTTCCGCGCGCCCTTGGATCGGGGACGCGCTGGGCGAGCAGGGGTCTCAAGCTAGGGGGGGAGAGACGACGACGCGACCAGTCAAAAGGAGAAGGGGAGGATAACCAGGAGGCCTATGCTTTCCAAACTCCTGCTAGGGGGCCGAATTACCCTACGGGCTTCATGCTATCCTATACTCTCTCCACTCTCTCTCTCTCTCTCTCTCGGCTCAATTCTATTCCAGAGCAAACTGGCCGATTGTTGTCCCATGCGTTGTCGTAACTGTACCCTGATACCCTGCTGTAGTATCCCACTGTTCCCCCTCGGGGTGAAGGTAGGGAAGAGCAGACTGGTAGTCACAGTATGTCGGAGGTGGGACCCTCGTGGATGTGCTCTGGTGGCCTTCGTGGTGATCACCTTTTTTCCATTCCTCCCTCCCTGCAGTAGTGCACCTTTCGGCACTCTCAACAATCGCTTCGAAAGACGCTGCCTGCGCGAGCTGCCTCTTAACGGTCCTCACGCCGAGATGGCCCCGCTGGTGATGGCCCCCCTGAGTCTGCCCGTCCTGCCAGCCTAGAGTCGCGCTCCGAGATAACCTCGCTTATGCACCTCTTGGCGTTGTCAGTGGGCTCCAGTGGTCTCTCTCTCTCTCTCTCTCTCTCTCTCTCTCTCTCTCTCAGCCTTCTCACCTCCTCTGGGTCGAGATTGTCCTCGATGCTCAACTCCTTCAGAGCGACTTTCGTGACGCTGTAGAGGTTCTCCTCGTCATTCTTCGCTATCTTCAGCGCCAACTCACACCAGTTCTGCACAGCGAAGGCCTTCCTCGCAGCTCTTTCCCACGCGTCCGCAGGGCACCTTGCGATGAGATCGCATCCGTCGACATTGCGCGTCATCGGGGAGGCCATTGGGATCAGCGCGAGGAGCTCCTCCGGGCGCGTCTTCCGGGCGGCGTCGTAGAACTTGCAATGGCTATCCTCGATGGCGTCGTCTAGCTTCTGCGGCTGCCTTTCCACTACAAACGCCCCCCACTCCTCTCCCACCTTGAGCTCCACCACCATTGAAGGCCCCCCCCTGAACGGACGGAACGTAAACTTGCACCCGATGTCTGGCCACTTCTCGCTGCGCTTGCCGAAGCCGTCCTTCATTATGCCCACCCACTCTTTCATGAGCTCGTCCTCTGGATTGTTCTCCTGCGCCTTCACGAGCTGCGCCCAGCCCACTTTGCACCGGAATTCCCACCGGGGCCCCCTCGAGTCGGGGCTTGGGCCTCGCCGCCGCAGCTTGTTGCGGAACGCGATTCCGCGCGAGCAGGTGATGTCCTTCTTTTTGCCCCATCGGGTGCTCCTCCTGCATACGTCGAACAGATGCATGTCGTCGCTCCACTTGTCCACGAAGTCCAGCGCCTTGAGGCGCGCTGTCTGTTTATCTCCCATGTTATTCGCCGTCTTGTCTTGGAGTCTCCCAACTCGTGCAGCTCCTTCTCTTTCCCTTCCAACTCCTTCTCAGCGGCCTTCAACGCTTCTTCGCCCTTGACGTCCATGGCCATGTCCATGTTCAGCAGGGTGTCAAATTCTCCGGCGCATCGTAAGGCATCAGCCATGCCTTCTCCTGCTTTGCTGAAGGCTGCGAGGATGCCCCCCGTTCATTCTAATGCCCTCCAGCAATGCCTTTGACATCTCCTCTACATGACCATCTTGCCCCTTTGATTGCGAAACTTGTCCTTTGTCCTTCCTCGGCCTCAATGAGCGCTTTCGCCGCCTGGGTCTGCCCAGGGGGCTGGGCTGCACGCGCGGCTCATTGGGATTTCCCCGTCTGTTCTCGGCAGACTTGCTCTCTCGTAGGGTACTGCTCTCCTCCATGTCCCAGATTTTCCCTCGTCGCTCCACTTGATCCACCCCTCCTGCCTCAGCTCCAGCTCGAAGTCGACGCGCGCCCTCTTCCATTGACTGCCTGTGCTGCCTTTGTCTCCTTGGTCGTTTTCATGTCCAAGCGCATTATTGGCGTGCTCCCCGTGGCTCTCGGTCGCCCCGTAGCGCCCGAAACCCTTGTTGCAACGACCGCATGGCCATATCTAACTGCTGCCCGCGAAGTTGACGGGCAGCCTCCAGCGCCCCGCACTCCGAGATTACCCCGCTAGTGCGCAACACTGCGCACCTGGGCCGTCGCAGAGCCAGATGGGCTGCGGGGGCCGAAGATGATCGATGGAAGT